GCATCTTCCTGCGTATCGAATACAAAGTAAAGTTTCCATTTATATAATATAATTGGAACTTTACTTTGTATTCGATATACGCGGGAAGATGTTCTCCTTATGCAAACCCGGGTTATACTTGACGTACCCGACGCACTTTCGACGCACCAAACAAGGTAGGGCAGCTGTTAAAAATCGAAAAAGACCTCTGCTAACCTAAAGTACTGTAATAACATAAAAATTAGTCTATTCATATTAAGTAATTTCAAGTAATTTAAAGTAATTACTAAAATTGGGTTAGTGTTAGAAATATTTATACTAAATTTCTAAGCTTATTGTTATCAAAAAATTTTTTTTCGAATATTGAATCAAAATGATATTTTTGAATTTTAACATTTTTTAAATAACTCCTTATTTTAAAAAATAAATTGATAAATTGTTTTCAAATGAGTAATTCTATAAATAGGCTTTTAATTTCTGACTTGTATCAATTATTACTTTTATACAGTGAAAACAATTATGAATATTAATTAATCTGACGCAAAATTTGTTCTCCTGAACAATTAAACATGTGCACATTGTAACAAATAAAACAAATAGGATTTGATCGAATGCATATATAAAATTATTAAATTATTGACCGAGTCCACCAGGGTGGCCATGGGAATTGTTGGCAACATAATAATAAATTAGGTGGAATAAATGCAAGTTGTAAGGCAACATACAATAGGACTGCATCATCGTCCTATCAGCATCCCCTGCATTGATATCACGCACCTCGTATCTACACCACATTTTTATTATCAAGTTGTTCTCAAGTCTCATGGCTGCCCTGGCGAACTCTTATTATCCACAATCATCGTTCAATAAGACAGGGTACGCGAGCGAAACCTGGCTAAGGAGGTGTTTTTATTCGTGCAGGATAATAATTTGTTTCATCGATGATGTAAAAAAAAAAATAAAAAATGACACTAACATTGTTGAATTTTCAAACAATGATAAGTATATATACATTTAAAAGAAAGACAATTACTTCAGATGAGTTAGAAAACTTATAAAAGGACAACAAACTTCAACAACTTTTCATCAGTTTCGAAAAGATCGCTTCTTAAATAAATAAAATAATCCAATCCCTATTTGTTCTTGTTCAAAAGAACAATTTTAGATTGGATCTTTTCGAACCCTATATTTCACTTTTACCGTATCATCAGCCATGAAATACAAAGAACTTCCAAATTTTATTTTCTTAATCACATTAAGTTTTATAATCATCGGGTTCATTGCTTCGGTATCAGCCGACCCTTTATCTTTCGATATCGAAGAAGTCACTTCCTCCATTCAACCATCTAAACGCGATATCTATGATAAGCGCGGCGAAGACGGCGAAGAAGATTACGAAGAAAAAGTTAAAAGAGATGTACAATACTTAAGTGACGAAAGTGACCAAGTTAAAAGAGGAGAAGATGGCAATGACGAAGAAGTTTACGAAAAGCGATCCGAAGTTAAAAGAGGAGATGATGGCAATGACGAAGAAGATTACGAAAAGCGATCCGAAGTTA